TCCTCAGCTTTCCTCTTCTGCTTGTTTCTTTCCTTTGTCATTCTCTTTGATGAATTCTTATGACTGATACGGCCATGGTTCACCAATACGATATTCAAGGTCCCAAGATCCACATACCTCGCAGTCATAAAGTTATATCAAAGTGAACGCCAAATAAAAGAAATAAGAATTGGAAAGGAGAGAGCAAACAAAGAATTAGTATTCCATTTATAAGCAGATTAGAAAGTCAAAAACATTCCATCTGTTTCTGACTGCCATGTTGAAGTTCTTGATTTGGGTTGAAGTGGTGGTGGCAGGGGCTGCAGTTGAAGCAGAAAAAAAAGTGTCAGTGATTTTGCTGACTGATGTGCAAAACATTACTTACCTGCAGGTCTTTTATCCCACAGTTGCAGTTGAGATGGGGTTCAGTGGGGGCTGCAGTGGAAGCAGAGAAAAAAAATATTGGTCAGCAAAAGGGCTGACCAATGTGCATAATACTACTCACCTGCCGGTTTTGGTGAAGGGTCTGGCAGGGGGTACACAAAAAAACAAATAAATGAAAAGCCATTGGTCGGCCCTTTTGCTGACAAATGAGGTAAAAACAACTTACCTGCCGTTGTTTTTTCCTTGGTTGCAATAGGTGGGTCTGGCAGGGGCTGCAGGGGCAGCAGGGAAAATTGGTCAGAAAAAAGGCTGACCAATGAGCTTAAAACAACTTAACTGTGAGTTGTTTTTGCCTTGGTCGCAGTGTAGGTGGGGTCTGGCAGAGCCTTCAGCAACAGCAGGGAATAAAATAAACCTTTTGGGTGTGTGGCAGGGGAATGGTTGCCAGAGGTTTTGGATATCAGTTCTGAGGGGCTGAAGGAGAATGAAAAAAAAATGCTTCATTGGTTGTATGGCAGGGGCAGCTCTATCATAAGTCAAATTCTTGTATGATACAGCTTGCATGCAACCCACAATTGTTAGTGTGAAAATTAACATTGCATTTTTCAGACATTTAGCAAGAAAGATCAACTTGTGCAGGATTCAAACCAGCGACCTTAGCTAGAAGCAAGCTAGGACACTATAATAGAAGTGCTGCCTTTACCAACTAGGCTACCAAGTCTGTGCCTGATGTGTTGATTTTAGAAA